GTACTTACCTTGGGTTTCTTTTTTTTTTGTCGACTGTTAATGACACATAACCCTACTTTTTTATACGAATAGTAGTAGTACCTCACCAAGTAATTTTCTACTTAATTGAATAATGCACCAAATAACACACAATAATAACATGCAAAAAGCAGACTATGTCTCATAATTATCACAGTTTTTATAGCTTTCTAACTATGTGACAAGAACAGTTAAAAGTTCATCAAAGCTCGTTGATGTGTTTCCCATGGGAATCAAGCTTGAACTGAAAGTGAAATTGACAATAAATCATTTTATAAATGAAAACCTTGGCTTTCTATTGGTTATAAGCACTATAGCATTGAATGTCAGAGAGAACTATTGGCAATTTCTGAAATAGAGGATGTGACAGATGAGCGTGGCAAGAGGTGTGTGGTTATCTGTTTTGTTGCTCTGTAACCAAATAAGATTAAAGACTATGAAAATTATGCTTTGCCTCAGTGATGACGATATTATAATAAGTAATTTACGTTAAATTTTGTACTTCTTTGAGGGGTGGTAAATAAATTAGAGAAGAGGAGATGCCTAGGGAGCAAATGTCACAACTTTTACACGAGGGGAAATTCTAGATTTTTTTGAATATTGCCTTAAAAAAGTCAGAACTTAATATGTGTATACAATTTATATACGGATTATTAGCTACATTTTATACTATATTTATTGGTATACCAGGAAAAGAAAGTAGTTTAATTAAATTATGAATATAACTCACTAAAACCCCATGACATGCACAGAAAAAGATGTTAGTGGAGAGAGAGAGAGTTAATTCTATCACAACCAATAAGCACCTTTCAGGTATTGAGTGCACAAGTGCTTATTAATTTCAACATTTAAGTAAAAATAATAATTGTAACTCTACCTTACTTTTAAATGAAAAGTATTTTAGAATTGATATTTTGTCATTTTGCAAATGTTTATTTAATGTAATTTGCAGAGAAAGATTTTAGAAAATGTTCCAATTTTAATTTCAGCACAGTTCTAAGGAGTCTCTCCTATGAACAAAATTTCTATAATTTTTTTTTTTAGCAAACTTAATGTACCAGATTGTAGTTCAGTGGTAGTTAATACATTCACATGAATGTTTCACTGTACTCCTGAAGTTCCAGGTTCTTGAATTAACTGTTTTTTGTTTTTTTTCTTGTTTCAATTAGGTGTTACATGATGTAGTTTTGATAATAACAGAATCATGAGAAAAAGTTTTTTCTGGAAGGTAAATTACTTTTGATTATATGAAATCCTTTCCTCAGATAGGCTGGAAATAGGGTTAACAATGTTTCTGGCCAGAAACTACATATTTTTAAGCTGTGTATGTTTAATATGACTTCAAAGGTGGTCAAATTTAAACCTCAAATAGTTGATGAATTTGACTTCATTTGACAAATTTTTAGCATATTGGAACATCAAACAATTTTCTAGAAAAGGTAAACTTGATGATAATGACTTCATTGTTACTATTGCTTAGCAGTATGTTAAGTCAAGAGAATAAATCTCGAATAATGTCATTCAAAGGATGATAATTGAAACGTTTCATTCATTTTACAACTCTTTCAGACAGCATTATCAAATTAGAAGATACATGGCTATAAATAAAACTTAATATTAAGATGTTTTTGATGTTTCCAAGTAAAAATTGATATCAGTAAAGAATATTATATTAAAACAAATCATGGTACCTAGTTTAACAAAGTTAATGTTGACTCTATTTTAAAAGGTGAGGTCCTAGGCCACCAATAAATCTTTTTTGCTGTATTTTATACTGCATTTGTAGCTGGAAGTAATGCAAAATAAAGTATCAAAATGAATATGTTAATAAATATCAATCAAGTTGAAATGGAACCTTGTAATGAACAATACAAAAATAAATCTTAATATTAAAAAGAAGTATTAAATATTTTTTCAAAACAGTATCAGAACAAAATTTTTGAAATTTAGCAACCTAGAATGATACAAATGCTAAATCAAGTTGTATGTATTTTTTAAGCCAAAACTAAATACTCTTTTTTTTTTTTGTGCTGAATTATGTTCTGTGCAACTTGGTTACGTATTCTTACCTTGAGAAGGTAAAAACAAAGTAAATGGCACACCTCTAATCCAGAAAGGTTTAACAGATTTCATTTGGTTTTATTTAAATGTATTAATATACATTTTTGTATTTTGGAATTATCACATAGTAGTTGAGAGTAGGTTAGTATACATTTATCACAAAGTTTAAATTCATCAATATGACATGAGACAGAAGACTAGTGCTGTATAGTATCTTCTTGTCCACTCTGCTTGAAAATTTCCATGAAAGGGGTGGGGGGTTAAATTATAGAAACTTGCTCTTAATTGTCTTAAGTATGTGAAAAATTAATTAAGAATGATTAGTCAAATGAATATGTTTTACTAGTTAGTCCTTGATTCAAAGATTAAAATAAGTTAATATTGTAAGTTAGTTAGAAAAGGTTCTTGCACCTTAATTGACTGTAGGAGTTGTCAGTTAGTAGTTGATGTTACAAAGAGGGAAGTCCTTTCATTTGTCATTCAGTGGGAGATAAGGGTTTTTATTGTGTTTTGGTATTTATAGAACTTCTTTTATCAAGAACTTGTAGGACTCTTAATGATGCTGCCACATTTTTAGAGACAGAAAAATGTTGTTTTAACGGTAAAGGAACTTTGTTCCTGCTTTCATTTTTTTAAATTGGAGTCTTTTATTAACTTTCTTGCTATGGGTAAGTCAATGTGTGCAGGTCATGATTTTTTACTGAGTTACATTCAAAAGTTTCTTAAACTATTATCAATGTATTTCAATAAACTTGGCATTAAAACATACTTTATTGTTCAAATTTTAATATTATATAAGTTTTAATTTTTATTTTTAAAAGTGTGTGTGTTTGGAGATATATATATATATATATATGTATCTAAGTATATAAATAAATGCTAAACTTCACTTTTTTGTAACACATAACACTTCTTCAGTTCAAACTTCCCAGTTTAACATTTTCTGCTCACCCCTCTGCAGTATTGTAACTATTTGTGGAATCTTTCATTTATAATATACATGTCCCTGAGCTCAACTGTCAATTTTTAGCAAGAAAGTTTTTTATTTTATTGAGATGTAAGCAATAAAGTAAAAGCCATATGCCATGCCTCCCATGGAGCATCCTGTATTCAAAACTTGTCATAAGTTCTCTTTGACATTTGCTATTGTATCACTTGTAACCAATAGAAAAAAAGATCTCACTTAACTGACAGATATGAGATCTAAGGGCCTTGGGCTAGGCAGATCTAAGCATGTTGGTGCATTTTATTCTGCTGTTGGAACTCTGCATGATGAATTATGGGAATTATTTTAAGTCATTTCTATCTTAAATAGAAACACAGATAAATTATACAAGTTTTAGGATATTCTATTTTATATGAATATTTCATATTCTAAACTGGATAATTGAACTTAAAAAAGAAATAATTCATGACATATTATTATTATTACATTAAGCTAGGATTAAGATTTGATGTTGAATTGGATTGTACGAATACAAAATCTTGAAGGAGATAAGGTTTCAAGTACAAATATTAAATTTCATATTATATATTTATTTTATTTATTAATATAAAATTATATAAATTAGAAACTTATCAGAAGTAAGTTTAAATGAAATGGAATACTCATGATCAATGATAGCATGCTTCAAGCATGAGCATGGTTGTGTAATTTGATACAAGTGTGCTTCTAACTGGATCTGTAGTTCACACAAAGTCTGGCATAATAAATAGCTATCTACATAGTCCAAGAATCTAAATAAAAAATCTAAATGAAATATCTATTAGCTTAGGCTGTAAAAGTAAGTATTGTATAACTGACTGTTGCAATGTGCATATGTTTTAGAGTGAAAAAAAGTGATTTATATTTATTTTGTATTTTTTTGTGGTGATTACAAAGTTATGGTAGTGAAAATAACAAAATATAAAGTTTTTCTGAAAAAAAAGTTTGATATTCATTTAGGAAAAATGAATCATAATTCAAGATTTACTTGAATAAAAGTATTATTAATCTTAAAATGAAAATTGCTTTGCTCTCAAACTGGTCAACACTAACTCCATATATTCACATACAAGCCTTTAGTAAAAATTAAAAAATCTGATTTTTTGTATACATAAGACTTTTAATGTTTAACCCTTTGTTTTTGGCTTGTATAAATCTGCCTACCATCTCATGTGCAAAGATTTGTGAATTTTTGAGGTGGGGCATTCAAAATGTTGTCCGCAAAATGCTTCCATCATATGTTTTCAATCACAGTCGCCTTCACTAAAATCATATGATGTCACCTGCAGTTGAAGGGTTAATGAAAGCCTACCAGATTTTGTGAAGATATACTTAACGTATTAAAAGTTATAGTCTGGAAACTCTTATGATTACTTTGTGGTTACACGGTCAGTCACATCTTGTATGGAAAGAATTAAGTAAGACATTTTAAGAAATGTTATATTGTTTTGTATTATATCATACATTGTCTACATTTTAATGATATACTTAAATGAATTTGTTATTGTTATACAATAATTTTTGACTGACTGATTGATCAACATATGTACTGTAGCTCTTTCTAAACAGGACAAAGATCTACTACTTTAATAATGGTCATTTTCTTCTAACTGGAAGAAGTAATTATTTGATGACACTTATTTTACTTATCATCATTAATCATATGCTGCCTTGTTTTTTACTAAAACAGACCTCAGAGGGTTGCTGTTGCATCAATGTTTTCTGTGACCTATCATAAAAAAGACTGGTTGGATGGTTATGGCTGCCTTTACCAAGTAAGTATTGAGGTGGACTGGTGATAGAACTGGACAATTTAATTGATATAAATCGATTACCTATGAGAATGAATATATTAGATAGTGTCACATAAACTAAATGGTTAGTAAAATTTATGATTACTGTGCAAATGTATATGCTGGGGAAACAATGTTAAACAATTCTTATAACCTTCAAGTTGAGGACAAAACAAAAGTAGGATGTCAATTATGTCATATAATTAGAGGGATAAAGAAATGCATAACATGAACTGTTTTAACGGCATAACTTAGGAATGATAAAAATGTGAAAATTGATACACATGTTCTTTTTGAACATCCTCATATCTTGAAGTAAAACTTTGCAAATTTTCTGCAAAGATAATGAGCTATGGGCAATTAATTTTAGTGCTTTCGTCAGTGGTAATTAGACTCATAACAAGACGGTAAAGATTTTTGAATTTAAAAAAATTCAAGTTATGGAAGAGTGTAATATCAACAAGTGTGCTAAATTTCATGCTGATATTGGCTTTAATGGTGAAGGTATCATGCTAATAAATTGGTGACATCAGTGAAAACTGAATTTTGATGAAATAACAGTTAAGATAAAAATGATTTATTTATGTAGAAAAAAGGTTAAACTTAGGCTAAATTTGACAAATGTTATTTTTGAAATATTGGGGGTGCTCTTTAAGGATCAGTGCTACCTTAAGTTGGTTAATTGAAATTAGTATTTCTGATTATTACTGTTTTAAATCAATCAGTTAATTGTTAGGGGGAGGTGCTCATGATTCGAGGGTCTTGGGTTCGATTCTGTCACTGATTTTAAACTACTGATTAGAATGAAGGCAACTGGCTAGCAGCGGGTGGAGTCAAAATGTATGTGCCATTACCTTGTACACAGTGCCAGTCAATGTGGTATTATGAATATAGTGTCAGAGATATCATTTTACCCTTCATTGTTGATTTTCTGACAGTTCATCTTAGACAAAATGCATTTTGGAGGCTCTAGAGGTCATTCAAAGGCAAATACTTTTTTAACACATGCTTGTTCTGTGTACTAAAAGCTTGTCACATTTCGTATTGTATTATTAATAATATGGTATTATTGGATTGAAAATTAGTGGAAAGTGACTTTTGTCTGTTGTTAGCCCAACCTTCTCATGAGAATGGAGTGTTTATTTTACAATCTTTTTATTTATTGGTTAAAGCTAGAGAAAAATTATTTTTTTGTTCTCTGACTGGGTATGTGCATTTGTATTTGAATCTCAGTAGTTGAAGCAACCTTGTTCTAGTTATCAGGTCATTCCTAGTCAGTCAAATAAATAGCATTATTTCAAGTTCAAGGGTGTTGGTTTGTACAACATTTTTGTTTTTGTTCTTGCATTGCACCATTTAATCTTTTTTATTATATATATATCTTAAAATTTGTCTCCAATACTCGTCAATTCATTTTCAGAAACAATTCAGCCTTTGTTATGTTAACATCAGTGACTCACTGTGAGTTAGATTGTAGCTTTCCTGTTGTTACTGCATTTGTGACATACCTGTGTGTAACTTTTCAATGAAGAATACTACAACTTTTATAAATTACAATATAAAATCTATATATTTAGGGAAATTTTGGTGAGTGCCAAAATAATTTCATTTGTTTTTAGTCTAAGTTCATTCAGTTACAAAATCATCTATTTTTGTTTATTCATGCTTTGATTTAACTGGTATAGAAATATTCAGTTTGTTTGAAACTGTTATAAAATTGAACATTTTGTTTTATAGTTAAACTATTAGAATAGTATGCACTGTGTATCAGATGTATCTTGGCTGTAAAGAAAATAACTATATCTATGAAATTTAAATTCTTTGAAGTTAATTATTTTTGTGAGATTGTTTTAAATTTTATTTGTATATAACTTGTTTTAAAAATACATGAATAACTTGCCCTTCTTGTAGGACTTTCAGACTTGCTCACTACGTTTCCAGTACCCACTGACAATAGATCCATATTGCTCAGACTTAGGTCATTCACCTGAGAACAAGAATAATATTAGTCGTCTTGTGAGCTGTCACACCATACAGCAGTCTAACATATGGGGATCAGAGAGACATGAAAGAGAAGATTCCTTACAGAATAGTGGTAAAGAAAATATTACTGTAGTCCACCTGCATTTCAGTATATATGTACTATTGTAATGTAAACAGAGTTTGAAAATTTTATGATAGCATTATGCTGTTGTTTAGGCCAAAATAAAAATGTTGTTTGTTTGCTTCTACTTGACTGACCCCCCCCCAAAAAATGACCCGAGTCAAACTATTTTCCTCAAACAACTTTTTAACAAGTGATTTGTCTAAAAAATCTATTTTCTAAACTTGTTTCAAGATGTGTCTGAAATGTGTGGTCTGAGATGTGTGGTGATCATTATCACCAAAATGCTTATTGTCAAGTTGCTGTGTTTCTTTGAGTAAAAGAACTTAAACCAAACCAAAAATAGTGCTTAAAGTCAGAATATTTAAAGAAAGTACAAATTTTTAAACTCTTCTTTGAAGATGCAAGTTTTTCTTGTGTAACTTCATGTAAGAATAAAACATTGAAACTATTGACTAAATGGTGGAGGATGCAAATAAAAAGTAAACTCATGCCTCTTGAGCAAGCACTGGGAACTTTGTTTATTTCTCCACAGATTTTGCATTTAGTGGTAACATCTTTCAAATTAATTAGAATTAGAAAGTTATTTTCAGGTATTTTGTTATGATCTCAAATCAGTATTTTATTTGTTTAGCTTAGATACGTTCCATTAAAGTTTCATTTGTGGTATTCAGGTGGTTTCTGAATATTCATTTCAACATACATATACATACATATAGCCTATCTCATCCACTGTACAAATATTTACCAAGCCTTCCCTTAAGTTAGCTGCATCTACCACATCTGAAGGCAACCTATTTCAAAGGCCAACCACCCTGTTAGAAAAATAAAGCTGTCTTAGCTGAAAATGATTCCTAGCTTGCCAAAATGTGTATTTGTGCCCTCTTGTATTACCATTCTCACCATTAAGTACAAAAAAAGATGATGCACTGACACTGTCAATTTCCTTTACAACCTCGAGCACCCTAATCAAATTCCCCCTAACTCTTCTTTTTCAAGAGAAAACAATTTGAGAGATTTTAACCTATCCTCTTATGACAACCTTTCCATCCCAGGTATCATTCCCATAGCCCTCCTCTTAGCCCTTTCCAGTGATTCAGTGTACTTTGTAAGGAGCCCAAGACTGAACACGGTAGTCCCAATGTGAGTTAGTTAGAACCAGTGACCTATACAGTGACATTATAACCTTTTTAAAACTTGTTTTCACTATTTCTGTAGATACATCCTAAAATCCTACTTGCCCTACTACTAGCAACAGTACATTACAAGGATGGCTTAAAAGGCTGATCAACCAGATCACCAAGAGTTTTTCTTCCATAAATGTTCATTTTATTCTCATCAAAATTTTACTCATAATTCAAATTCCATATGTATTACCTTGCGTTTATTATAATTAAAAGTCATCTGCAGTTTGTTTATTCAACTAGCCAAATCCTTTTGTAAAGCAGCAGCATCCTCCTCACATAAGGTTTAGAATTTTTTTGGATAGTCAGCATGGTTTCACTAATCTTGCCTTACTAATCTTTTGCCATTCTTAGAAGAGGTTACTGCTTAAGTAGATGAGGATATTGGTGTAGGTTTTCAGAAAGCATTTGGTAAGGTTTCACATAAAAGGCTTGTTAAAGGAGTTATCTCTGTAGGTGTGGAATTGTCTCATTGGATAGAAAAATTAGCTCAGTGTTAGGACCTTTGCTCTTTTTTAATTTGCATCAATGATATAGATGAGGGAACAGTCCATAAATTATTTAAATTTGCTGATGATATTAAAGTTTTAGGTTTTAATGGCTTAAATGACTAATAGATCTATAATTACTGGGACAATATATATGCAGTTATAAATGTTTGGAAAACTGCTTTTATTGTTAGATTCTGTTTACAAGTTGTTGTTTTTTATTATTTCAAATCTTCAAAGTATTTTTTGTGGTGATATTTGTAATTTTAGATAATGAGCAGATTTCTCTATTGTTAATAGTAGTCATATCTTTCTGTTTCTACTATTTGATGCAATGAGTCTTCCAGTGTAAAAATCAAAGTTGACAAAGATTATCTGCTAAGGCTGTCAGTCACACCTGTGATGGCACGTACTGTTTATTGTATTAAATTAACAACACATACTAGTAAACTGCATAAATTATTGAACATATAGGATCTTTTTCCTGTTTGAAATAGTATATCATTTGCTACATGTTATTGAAAGCTGCAAGCTTTTGATATTTCTGGAATCATTGTTTAACATGTGGATTGAACATATTTGCATTTAAATGTGTTTAACTGTATTTTCTTTTCCTTTTTTGTCCTTGTGTTGACTACAAAATTAAGTTTAACCCCCCCCCCCCCAAAAAAAAAAGCAAAAAGGCATACATTTTCTTTGTCCATGCCTGAAACTGTTCAAGAAGGGGTCAGGCATGGACAATAAGATTTTTTAAAAATGTGGCTTTATGTATATTCATTTAATACTCTCTCAAACGATAAAATTTTAATTCTTGTTCATAAAAATTACTAAATAAAATCCCCAAAAGTACTAGATTTCAAGTTATTCACGGAGTTTCTAGATTTTTTTTTCAACTATCCTTTCTTATAGAAGTAGTTTCCAATATTTTAATCTTTTACGTAATTTATTTAATGCTAAAAATATACTTTTCTTGTAATCTTGAACTTGTCATGATTAGCATGAGTTCCCAAACTGAGTTGTGAAAGCCAGTTGTTTTAATCTTATAGATTGGGATGACATTCAAGAACTGAGTCTGTGTGTTTTGGTTTGGGAAGCCTGGTATGATGTGGCTGACACCAGTTCCCATTGTATCATGTTAATATTTGATATTAACCAGTGGTATCAAGCTCAGATGCCTTCTTCATTCAGGTACTTGCATTGATTTACTCCCAGTCATTTAATGAAAATTTAAATGGTATTTGAAGAAAGTGACTAGACACTACTATAAGTGTGTAATCATATGTTTTTATGTGATGTTAATGACTGATTTTGATTTGAAAATTGCACTACTGTTAAACCTTCCATGGTCGTTACATGTAACATAAAGAAAGAAAAATCATTGCACGTAGATACATGAACTTCCATCAGAATATTTTATTAGCCACAGGCTAAGATAGTCTGATAAGCAAAAATTTAGAAAAGTGTTTATTTTCAAGTTTAGTTATCACAGTCTCATATTACAGTGTTGAAATAGTGAAATGTAGTTTTGAAACTGTTTTCATGATGCACTCTTGCAACTCTCAGTGAGTTTTAAATAAGAGTTTACTTGCTAGTTGTTGAATAATTTTACACATGTATTTGGAATTGCTGTTGGGGAGATGATTAAATTAAAAGTTAAGGATGTAACTGAATTTTTATGTATTTTGTGTTTTGCTGGCTTCATTGCTTGTTTAACTCTCTTTGTCTGTGACATTATAAGTAAAATGAATAGAATATCCTATGTATCATATACACTATGTATATGAAGTCCAGTAACTTTAACACATATATTTGTTTTTCTGAATATAAACTCCAGTAAAGGAAGCATTTATAGAAGAATAAACTAACTTTGTTGTATGGGAAATTAGAACATTTTTAGGAAAACTTGTGAATATGCTTTATGGATTTCATGATCTGATTGGGCTTTGTTTTTGCTGCAGAAATTGGTTTAATTTGGATAGGCTATAAAAACTTATTCTGATGAGTTTTTTTTAAGATGTGTCTTTTGTTGAATTACTTATAGGACATAACTTCCAATTGGCAAAATAGTAGTTACACTTAATACATTGTGAATTATATGTCTGGAACTTCTTATTAAACCTTACATAAAATATGATATATAGAATTAATAAGATCTTAAAGTGAAATGTGACTTATTGGGTGTGTTTGTTTTTGATTAAGTGCAAGTGTAAAAAAGTGACAGTAATTTGGTGACTTTTTATATTGAGTTGTCCTCACTCTGATGACATTCACAAGTTGCACCAAACATGTACATATTAAAATTAATGTCAGATTACCATTTCTATTTGTTTTCAATGATAAAAAGTATTGATTTATTTTTCTGTAGAATTTCATGTGGAAAGTTCAGCTCTTATGTTGAAATATTTTCCCTAACCAAAGTGCTAGAGGAAGCAGACAGAGGCTCTTTTCTTTTGGTAAGTTCTTGGTGTACATTGTCTCTCTGATTATATAGTACAGTTAAGCATATTAAACTTCTAATTACAGACTTGTTTCAAACTGTTTACTACTAGTGCAGTCCATATCTTGAATTCTATTGGTTAATTTTATGTTTTTGCCAGTTACAACACTCGGTGTAAAAAATTGGTTAAAATATTTGGTGAAACCACTTATTTTTTATGTAAAATACATTGGGAACCCACCAATAGTAAGTGGGTTTAATTGTAATACTGATGATATTTTTGTTTACATTTTTTCAGTGCTTTCAGCAATTTATATGTTATTACATAACCTATAACTAACAAAGTTATTGACCCATGAACAAGTTGGTGCATAAATAGTTTAGAAACATTTCTTTAAAAATCTCTTCAGGTTCATGTGGACCCTTTTGGTAATGCTGAAGTTAAAATCACACTTATGTTCTGTTTATTGAAGAACTTTTTGGGCAATATTAAAAATTGTGAAGTCAAATAAAAGCTAATTTCAAAAATAATCCAAAATCTGATGCTTATATTCGGATTAAATGCAGAATAGATAGATTTCATAAAAAAAGTGTCTTTACTTTTGGTAGGATGCACACATTGTCCCCAGTTCTCTTATGAAGTTCAATGCCAAGTCATCAGTTGAACAGTTTTATTTTCCATCTTCACTAGGCTTTAGTAAGTGTATTCTTGATTTTTCACTATTTAAAGAGATTATTACAGGCTTTGTTTTTATTGCAAACTTGTTTATTTTTAAATCTTTTTTTTCACTAAGTGGATGAGTGCATTGCAGGGCTGTTAGATGTATAGATATAACATATTTAAGAAAAGCTGAGGATTTAATAAACTAATAATAATAATAATGCTTGTTTCTGTTGACTTTAATAAAAAATGTATAAATTAATTTATGAAATAAAATTTCTATTTAGAAGTTGGAGTAAAAGGTATATTTCTTTGATATAATAAGTATAAATGTTTTATTCCAATTAAATACCAAAAAGGTGTATGATTATATGACATTCACTGTAGCTATAGCTTACAGATGAACTTATGAGGTCTATATAAAATATGTAAAATGCTGTAAATGTTGTTATTTTTAGGCTTATAAACTAGAAATAGTTTATTTTACCTTAACTGCTTATAATTGCAAGGAAAACTCAAGAAAATTGGTAGGAAATTTCTGAAGCTTTTTCTTTACAAATTCATGTCTTTGAAAGTTATTGGGTAGGTATGCTGAAGGTTTTTTTTTTTCCTATGTTAAAAAATAATTCATATGGTAGTGCAATGCAATTCAAAAATAATCCTATATAAAGTATTCCTTTATTCAGCTATGGCAAGAAAATTATTCTGACCTGATTGATCATTAAAATCTCAATCACTGAGCTGATACATATATTAGTCTGCAATAAGTTAATACTTTGAGCTACAAGGACTCCCAGTTGTGTGTGTGTGGCAAAAATTATGAATCCAAAAGAAAAACTACAATATAATCCATTTTGTCAAATGTCAGTAGTTCTGAGATAAGTTTTGTGTATCATGTCTAATTTATACTTACAGAACTTTATTGTTTAACTGAAAATGGAACCATGCAACTGTCCTTTCTTGGAACACAAAGACAGGTTAGCAAACTCAAGACCTTTTAATGATTCCCTGAATTCTTTCTATAATGTTGTTATTGGAAGTATAAAAACTTAGCTGTTTAAAAAAAAAATTGTAATTTCTTTAGAGCTGTTTATTAAATTCTTATGAAAAATATAAAAGAATATTTTTAGTTGACAGTTTGTAGCAATTTGATATACACACACGCACAAATTAACAGTTTCATTAAGGAATAACAAGAAAGTCTAGTAACTTTGAGGTTTTAATACTTTCTATCTTGATATTTGCAGATCTTGTCAAAGATGGTTATGAATGGGCCGAGCATCCTTGTGAATCCACAAAGTCTATACAGCATGTGTTTAAAAGCTGGACTTATACCTCATTGTCAGGAACTTGATGATATATCGATTGTAAGTATTTTATATTTTAGACTTTTTTATGACCTCCAAATATTTTGTTTTAAGGTTTTTCATCAAGAATGTTGTATGGAATGTATATCATAAGTTCAAAAATAGCATTTCTATTTTATGCTGATAACATTTCTGGAAGACTACCTTTAATGTTTCTTTCCTTTCTGTTAGTAGAAATAAATCAATTTCTTGTATTAAATCATTAAATTATTAGCCATTGGATATAAAGCAATTCTATAATTTATTTTACATCACTAAACAATTTTAATTTTTTTAGCCAACACAGAGAGAAGCAGTTCTATCAGTGGCCCTTGAGTACAACTTGTCTAATTTTTTTGCTGCTTGTATAAATCAGTGGGCTTCCAGTGGTAGGTGTTAAACTTTACTTGGCAATTTTTAGAAAGTTTTAGGGTCATAAACATATCTTTGATATATTAAAAGTATATTTTTTTATTATACGTTCATTTAATGAAATGGGAACTTTGTCCCTCTCTTTCTTGAATTCTGTGAAGTTTGATGGTAATGTCTTTAAAAAGAGGACTTAAACTTAAAAAACTAATATAAAATACTATGACATATACTTATGATGTTGGTGTTTAAAGTTTGATATAAGTTGATCTTGATGCAACTAAAAGTGTTGCAGTGTAATTGTAACACTTTACAGACTTGTTTTCATAAAACATTGGAGTTCCTTTGTGATATCTAATATGTGTGTGTGTATATGTGCATATTTCTTTTTTTTTTGATAAAATAAAATCAGTTTTATTTGATGTGTTTTGGTTTATATAAACTTTAGCAAAGCCAGCAATAAGTTGAAAAAGCCTACATAAAATAAACATCCATGCAAAGATCCATTCTGATATGTACACAACTTAACTAGAAATAAGTTTTGATAAACTCGTTACTGTTATACATAGATATTAGGGCAGTTCCCAGTATAAGAGTAGAAAAATAGATATTTTAAATATTCAGTTTGTTCCTTTATGAAAGAAAACATCTCACAATAAAGTTTTTTATCAACTGTGGTTTATTTAGAGGTGCCCCATTGTACCTGAGTTATTAGAATTGAAAAAATTCTCTGTTGCAAGAATAAAATATTATGATTGCAAATTAACATTGTATATAATAATAATAATAAATGTTTTATGAAAGAAATGCCTGCCTCTATTTAAAATTAGATATAGTAAATAATGAACAAGAAACTTAAAAACAATTTTTTGTGCAATACAGTTACTATGAATTAGTAGCAAAGGGGAAAATTATACTAAACTTGAATGTATTTTGTCTACTATTTAACGAATCCAAGGGAAGGCAAAGCTTTATATTACTATGACAGACAGTAGGCTTATTAAGTTGTATAAAATGACATATTAGATGTGGACCCTATTTATAAACCTTTGTGATTTCTTATCAATTTATATTATAAAATTTCACTTACTTGTAGTCTTGTACTGGTGTACTTTTATTAAGATTGAGTTGCTGGTTTACTTATGTTGATTTCTATAGGCATGATTGTAATCAGCTTTATTTCTGTAATAACTATTTACATGTATTGTTTTACTAGTCTTAATCACCTGTGACCTAGATTAAATTTTTACAAGATATATCATCTTTGAAATAAAATATAGAATTATAGAAATAAATCTAGATAATAATAATAACAAGAAAATAATCTTATTTAACAATATTGGTTAATAGCTAAAATCCCACATGTAGCTGGAATCCTCTAAGACACTGATTGGCTTCTACAAATACTTTGAGAGAGGACTGATACAACCCTTTCAGATCACCCCTATATATTGACCAAAGAGTGATACAAGCCTCTTGGGTCACCCCCAGACATTGATCAGGGATTGATACAAGCCTCTCGAGTCACCCTCAAACATTGATCAAGGAGTGATGCAAGTCTCTTGGGTCACCTCCAAGCATTGATTGAGGGGTGATACTAGTCTTTCTGGTCACCCCCAAGCATTGACTGAGGAGTGGTACAAGCCTCTCGGATCACCTCCAAACATTGACCAAAGAGTGATATAAGCTACTTAGGGTAACCCTAAACATTGACTAAACAATCTCAAATTCTGTGTGGAGGATTTATTTAAGATAAAACAAGTATATTGGAGGGGTGAGACAATGAAATTGAAAAACTTGTAATTTGGAGACCACCCTACTGGTTATGCTTTAGAAGTATATTTGATATTTTGTCACTGTGATATCTAGATAAGTATTAAATGTATAGTAATTTTATATATAGGAAAAGCTTTATAATTTGAATTAAATTTTAAACCTATACTTTAAGATTAATTGATAACTATTGGAGAACTTGTGGTCTTGCTACAAGCAGTATTGCTTCTCTTTTAAAAGGAAATAACAGGGACATTTCCTTTTATATGTAGATAGAAACTGTGTGGTTTGTAAAATTTAATGTAAAAAAAAGAATTGTAATTTTTCAGAGTAAATCTGTGGGTGAATTTTAAGACTGAATATTGAAAATAGTATGTTTTTATTCACTGTTTCAAATAAAAATCATGAGTATTGGTATTTGTATCTTTGTTGTAGTATACAAAAGTTTAATGTTACGTTTAATAGTGTAGGTTGTTGAAAGTAATGTGTAAGTTTAGTGACTGCTCTAAACTATTCAATTGTCAGCATTTATATCTTTTGTACTATATGAAAATACCATAAAATTGTAAATATAAATACAATAGTATTGAACTGATATTTTGTTTTCTTACTGCAGATGATCACACTGGATGCACTCTCAGGTTTTTGTGTAATTGGGCTTGGAAGAAAGTAAGCCAGATAAAAACAAGTTTTGACAGACTTTGTAAGTGCCCTATTTTGGTTATCACTAGTCATTATTTAATGTTTTAATAACTGTAATAAAAATGAAACATATACTAACCATAAAGTAAAATATAACTTTATTAAAGTAGCAAAAACATTGTGGGTGTATTTGTTTCCTGCTCAAGCCTTTACTGTTGTTACTCTTACTTCTGCTTTAATAGTTGTTATAGTTCTTAAATAGCTTGTAATAAAAATGAGTAAAAGTTAAAAAGTATTTTATCAGTTGTGAACTGAAAGTGACTTTTTAATTATGATAAAGATATTGGAAATTTATATCAGTGTATTACAATGTGCCTTAAAGCTTTTGAGAATCTTAAATATTTCAAATAATTCAAAAAGTACTTTTAAATTAATCTGTTTCTTGTTCTTATGAGGGCAAGTTACATCATTAAATTTGAAAAATTGTATTTAATCTGTCAACCTAAATCTCATAAAGAACTAACTGAAATGATCCAATTTATAATTCTGATGTAACATGTTTATATTTGACTAGTAGAAGTATTTATATTGTCTTGCTTGCATAGACAAAACTTTGCAACATACAAAACAAAGTTTTAAATTTTTAGTCTTCATACATGTTTGTTTCTTATTTCTATCTCAAATAATATGAAAACAATGAATTTCTTTAATTTGGTAGTATCAAAAACCGAAATTCAAGTGATTTAATTTTTAGCTTTACATCTTCAAAGCTTTTAAACTTAACAAAAATCATAAATATATCATGAGAAGACTGAAAATATTTCCTTTATTGCATTCTATTTGCCATAGAGCTCCCCTTTACTCCTAATATAGATTGTGTATTTCTGAACTTTTAAGTTATTAAATAATAAGCCTTACTGGACCATATATATACAAGTAATTTAACTCCATCATGGTTTTGTATTTTTCCATACCCTGAAAAGATATTACATTACTTTTATTGTTTCTCATGATTGGTTGTTTTGTTGAAGTAATTAGATTATTAGTTCCTTTTGACTTTATGAAAACTCCTTTATGTAATTTGAAACTATGTAGTCATACGGTGCACTTTGGCTCAGTACTCTTTTTTTTTTTTTCTGATACAGCTGTTCATAATTTATAAAACTAGTACAGAGGTATAATTAGATACATATTGTATATTAGTGGACTAGTGTGTGATGTTATTAGGCCTGCGATTGTGTAACTGCAAATAAGCATGTATGAAACCTGGCTTTCAGATCCGTGATTACAAGCATATTGCATAATGCTGTACTATTCAGCTGTGTCACTTACTGGAGTTTATTTTTATTATATATTGTTAATATACCAAAAAATCTAATTTAGATTCAAGAATGGTCTGTGGTTATCGTGCCTTATGTCTGAAGTTTGTATTTCATATATTTCATTTTTGAGTTATTAATGCAAGTACAGAAGTTACCTGTACGCTGCCACTAGACTCAAAAAAGTGAAAAAAAACTGCTTGAAGAGTTGTTATTTTTGCATGTGTATAAAGTAGTTCAGTTTTTTTTAGGAAATAACACTAAAAGAATATGTTATACTTTAAAATATCCACTGATGTTTATTTTGAAATGTTATTACAGTTTGTTTTTTAAGTATTCATTCATATTTTAGTTTGTTTATTGGATGATAAAAGTTTTTAGTATAAAACTAAGGTAAAAACTTTTTTTTCTTGATACTTAACAGTAGTTCCATTCTTCAACTGTTCTGGACAAGAACTGGATAAGTCTACATTAAACCTTCTACAGAGCTACAGTAATCAGCTGAATCACTTAGCCTGTTTGTTTCATCTCCTGCAGTCCCAGTGTGATTCTATCACTCAGCAAGGTAAAGATGCTTTAACTGGAATGTAGATATTGTTCATAAGTGAAAGCTAGTACTCTCAAAAACTTTAAAACTTGCTGTAATTCAGTGAAAGTTTCATTTCTTAGTTAATTTGTTTTATAATCTACCAAACACTTCATTGGACTAAACACCCCCCAGTGGCACAACGGTATGTCTGCGGACCTATATGGCTAGAAACCGGGTTTCGATACCCGTGGTGGGTAGAGTACAGATATTCCTTTGTTTAGCTTTGTGCTTAATTACAAACAATAACAACAAATTGGACTAAACATTCTTAAAGTTGCTAAAAATTGTGCTTTATTTATAAAATAATAAAACTTATTGTTGTGTGAATGAACAATACCCAAGGTCATGACAGAAAATCAGAGTAAGATCAGATGCTACTTAAAAGATAAATATTTAATGACTAATTTATTATTGGATTTCAAAAATAACTGCACCAAAAAAATGCTTAGCCATCTTTGCTCTAAGATTTCTCATTTTGATTGAGATATCTTCATAAATGAATGAGATATCCTGAGAACATTTTGAGTACATCCTGTGCAGGTGTATGTGACAACTTAAAATATGTTGCCAGGCTTTGATTGTGAGTTTGGTATGTTAGGTAGTGGTGGCATTGTAGTTGTTTGTGTCTGCTAAGTTCTGGTATAATACAAGAATACTTATTTGTGATAGTTCTTAGGTTAATTATATATGATATCACTAATAGTGAAATGATACTGAAAGTTGTATTATTCATACAGTATCAACTCAGAAAGCTAGTTTTTTGTTTTGGAAGTAAACTTGACCAGACTTTTTGTTATACTTTTAAAGCATAAGACCAAGTATTGGGATACATATAGCTCTGTAGCAATAAGTAGGTTTCATAATATGTGTTTTCAGTCCAGAGCTTAACGTTGTACTTTTATATAAGCTTTGTAACTGATACTGTATATATTACAGCTCTACTGCAAGTAGTCTGAAAATAACAATAGTAGAGATTAACCCATATATATTAAGCTCAGTGCAGTATGTTGTGTGCTAAGTAACTGCTACAATATTTTGTTTTATAGGTCAGGTGGAGCTAGAACTAAGATATGAGGTTACTGAAATCATAGCTCTATACCTGAAGGTTACTCTGTGGATGTTCACGTGTCGACTCTTGCCTGAACACAGTGAAGGCACAGCTTATGGAGAAAATGAGGTAGCTTACCCTGTCAAAATCTTTACGGACACCTACACTAGGCGTAGACAAGAACTTCAGAAGCTTCACAGGTAGTTGCTGTATTTACTTTTATTGTAAAAACTTTTTTTATCCTCCCATTTTTCTCGTATGTTGGCCTCCATTTTCTTTTCTCTACTTATTAATCATTAAGTAACACATATTGAAAGAATAAAATAAAATAAAAATTATATTTTGAATTACTGTTATGGCAGTAATAGTGACTCACAAAATGTTTTTTGTGTGAGATACAGTATTTGATATCTTTTTTTTTTCTAAATTGATTTTTGTGTGTGTTATTAAAGACCATTCAGAGTAAATGACATTGGTGAAGCTGGGTTTTTAACAAGTATATACTCTGTCTTTTCTACTGTTTTCCAGTACAGTTAACCACACAGACATTCTCTTAATTGATGGACTTGTTTTGGAAATTGAGTCCTGTTTGGACCAGCATGTGTGGCAGAGGGAAGGAGGTAATGGACAATATCCTCCACCAAGCTTGTATGCAGCTCTGAGTTCTTATCTTCTAAAAGGAGTACCAGTAGATAAGAAACACTGCCTGATCCTCTACCTCCTCCTGGACATGGCAGCATTCCTTTCTGAACGTCAGAGTCATCTAGTGGAACACTTGATGAAATTTTCGGCTACCTTTCATGTGAATCCCAGCCTTGTAAAATTGACCCAGGGGTTTTGGCTACTTGATCATCGAGATTTTGAGGTAGTTTAGAATCATTAAAGTATTTTCTAATAATTTATACCTACTTGAAGAATTACTTTGGATTTTGTATGGTAAGTCTAAAGAAATATACACGTATATTTTGAATTTATTCTGTTAACACAGTTGCTGCCAACTGACCCACTTTTGAGTCGGGTGTGTTCAGAATGTGCCATATGAACCACCAATTAAGTGAGTTGTGTACAGATAGAAACATGTTAAGCTATCTCGTTTGGTTTGAGCAGAATATTATAAAAGCATATTTTCCAACATTATACATTAAAATGGTTATTGTTCTGTAAAATGTATAGAATTCAGATTAGTCAGAGGGTTATTCATTGTCATACCTTTTAAGATTTGAAAAATATATAATCAGGAAAGTCCTCATATTTCAATGTTGCCAAAAAAATTTAAATTTTACTCTTTCATTTTTCTAACAGCCACCAAACTAAAAATGTTTATTTCTAAATCATAAGATCAAGAGTTTTTCTTATTTTCATGAGGAGTTTATAGTAATAATTATTTGTGATGTTTCTCATTGAAGTTTGTAAGACACTGCAGACTTTCCTTCACACTTACTGCTCTGTAAAAGAAATTATAATAGCTTTTTAAAAGTGTCACATTTTATATTAATTCTTTCTAAATCAAATGGGCCTAGCATGGCAAGGTGGTTAGGGCACTCGACTAAACAATCTGCGGGTCGTGGGTTTGAATCCATCCCCATTACACTAAACATGCTCACTCTTTCAACTGTGGGGACATTATAATGTGAAGGTCAATCCCACTATTCAAAAGAGTAGCCCAAAAGAGTTGACGGTGAGTGGTGATGACTAGCTGCCTTCCCACTAGTCTTACACTGCTAAATTAGGGATGGCTAGTGCTAGTGCAAATAGCCCTCGTGTAGCTTTGTGGCTTAACAATAAGTCTGATGGCTTATAACTAAATCAAATGATGCAAGTCATTCTGACTGTATGCACTCAATTCAGCTTTAAAAATTTAACTAGGATGTATAACTTAATTCTATTTTTAGAATTGTTTGCTCAAAAATACTTGTAGAATTTATAGCTTAGCATTTTGTAATATTTATATTTATATATATATATATTTTTTTATCATAAATAAACTTTTTGAAAAATGTTCAGATTTTAATTTCTTTTGTATATCTAGGTGTATGAATTATGAACACTGCACTTTTAGATGTTTTTGCTAGCACCTAAGCTTATATTTATTTCTCCCTATCAAATATCAACACTTTAGGTTAGTATGGTATTTGTTTTTATGCCTCCAGTTTGTTCAGCTGTGAATTTATTGGTTGAAGTTACATTCAAAGTGCCTATCAAGAGTGTCTTGACAATTTTGAATGGATCTCAGGTTTGAAAATTTATACAACTTAAAGCCAATAATAATCCAAAAGGGAAATTCCCAGCTTTAGTTTTCTGTAAATAAAGCTATAATATAATAGTATTGTGAGAAAAATAATTACATTTTAAAGGAATAGTGAGCTTGGGCACAGTCGTGATGTTCTTTTTCCCTGATATTTCTGTGTTATGTTGGTTTGGAAGCTACAGTAATATTCTTTTATGACAAAATATAAGGTACGGATATTTCGGGTTAGTTGAATACAGTATTAAAATTGAACTGTCTATGACCTCAGACATTTCAGATGACTTAAAACCCCTTTTTTATTAAATATATTGTTAAATTTATTGATACTAAAACAACATACACAAACACAAGAACCTCTTATTTATTGAAAACAAACTATAATAATTAGATATAAATTGATCTCAACTAAAACAATAGTTATCTAATAGTGTCATCATTTTGAAAAGTGAGGCCATTGATCAATGGTAAATTTTTATTAATCATACTGTGATCCATAGCAGGAAGTCAACTGCTTCAACTGGCAAAATAATATATTAAAAGAAATATAAATACTATTAAGATCAATTTAAGATCTCGGACTGAAACTAGACACTATTTAAGAAACTTTTGATGCAGTTTGATTATTCAAGTATTATCACTGTGAAAATAAAGACTGTAGGGTGTATTTAACATGTTCTCACTGTGAAAGTGTTTGATATTTTTCATAAACATATTTTAAGGTATATATAAAACAAAGCATACTTTTACAACTCTTGGATTACAATGTTAATAGTGTTTGTGTCTTATTTTTCTAAACATTTATAGCAATAAGATTAGTGCTTTATAGCTTTTTTTGGTTCGTTACTTTTTTTAAATAGACTATGAATTGTATAACTTTATATAAAGCAATTTTTGTTCTAAATTGGAAAGTAATTGGAGAAAAGTATAGAAGGGTAAAAACTGTTGCTTGACAGTAAAAGTAACAGTAGTGATGAGCCTTGTTTAATAATAGTTTTTTTGATATTTAGCTGTCTTTGTGATAAAACAGTAAATTTTTTGGGATAAAACAATCAATCTATACTATAAAATTCCTTGTGTATCTGTTCATAACTAAAGTATTTCATCTATCCAACCCCTGATCACCATGAAACTTTTGCCATCTTCATAAAGCCAATGAAATAAGTGTTATGTATAGTGTGGGAAGCTATACTAGATGTATATATATATAACTTAATGCTTTTAAAAGTAAGTTTACTTTGTGAAACTTATTAGTGTGAAATCAAATCACTAGAGTAGTTCATAGTGTGAAATTTTCTACTTCACTTTATACATGCAGTAAACAATCACTATGTGTATAAGTCTCCAGTTTCATAGATCACACTCCTGAAAGTTGTACAACTGTAGTAAAATACATTTATTCCTTACTGTATAACTTTCTGAGATTCAATAAGAATTTCATATATAAGATAATTATTTATAGAGAAACGAAATGTGTATGAAATAATTGGTTTTTATAGGCATGCTATATTGCCTTATTCATCAAATATATTGTTTAATAGGAGTATTCTTTTGTTCTTTTAAATTTTGTATTCCTCCAATATAAATGGCATAATTTTATATAGTTATAAAAATATTTTTTTATTGAACCTTATCAAGGTTTAGTTGAAAGTTATATTTCAATTTGACCTAAAAGATGAAACTATTTAAGTTTTAGCTTTGTCTCTCAGTATGTGCCCATGGTAACTCAGCAGTAAGCTTGAGGGCTTATAGGATTCAAGGTTTGATCACTGCAGTGAGCACAGCATAGAAGACCTATTGTTTAGTATTATGTTTGAACAAAAAGTAAAATTTTAAGGATGTAAATAAACTTTGTAATCTTTTTTTAAGAATGTTAAATATTTGTAATTTTAGGAAGCACTTTCAGCTTTACTTGATCCAGTTATTGACTGTTCTGACTTCAAGGCCTGGCATCACCTTTGTATTTTAAAAGCATTTCTGTATCAAGGAGAACACCAGAAGGCACTGAAATATACCAGAGTACGGAACCCTCCTCATGAAACTGCCGAAGAAGTCAAACTTTGTCTAACGATCTTACTAGCTAACAAGTATGCAAAAGTTGTATTATGTTATCAGTACTGAATGAGCATTATTAAAGTTGTATGTAGACTTGAGGAAGTGTTTTACATTCCTCTATTTGAGTGTGTTTCAGTTCTTGAAATACACTTCTCATATGATTTTTAATGTTTTAAAAGTGTAGTTTCTTTCTAGAAACTTGCACTAATTGCTTCAAAATATAATTTTAATGTAAAAAATGAGTAAAATACTACTTGTTGGTTTTTATATTCTATAAAGCTTCTAAAGTGCAGTGTGAACATTTTATAAATGTTGGCTAATTTTTGAAGTTTTAATAGCTTAATATGTTATTGAACAATAGGTTGACAGCTGAAGCCTTCCACTTCCAACGGCAGTGTAGGGACCAGAAAAACATGGATGATTTTCTCTCTCACTTCTTTTTGGGCTGCCAACAAAGTATGTAAATATTGTGATGTAATTATTGAATGATATGTCATGGTGAAAAAAACCGTAAACTATAACCATATTAACTCTCCATTAACCCAATAATCCTGATTTAAAAAAAAATCCACCAGCACTTTAACTCTGCATCAACTTTACAAGTTTGATTTTCAGTGTACTACTTAACTACAGGTTTATCTTTTACTAAGTATTTTCAAGGTTTCTTGTCTTAGGCATGTTTAATAAAAAAAAAAGGCAGAATATTTGTTTTCTCTCTTTATCAGCTTTGGATTTGTATTTTTATAACATCCATACAAATTGTAGTGTTTTTCACTTGTTACTCATCTGTTCCAGCTAAGTATCTGTTTAATCCATGTCAATTGATATTATCAGTGATTAGTTGTATTTTTTTTTAGTTGTACCCAATGAGTATAATTTATTATTTTGTTTAAACTCAATTCCAGTTTTTTATAGCTATTAGCAATGATTTATGTTTGTAATACTGTTGCTTTTAGGCAACTGAATATGAAGTAGGGATTTTATAAGTTTTATGCTTGGGCATCTGCTCTGTTGGCCATTTGGTATTATTTAAAAAAAATAAGAGTTTATTTACTGAGTATTTGATAATGTAGAAATGTAAATGTGAAATATCTTGTTGCTTTTCTCACTGGTGTCTTTAGTTTTGGTATAAATTTTAAGCAACCATACTGGAAATGATTATATATTTAATCAGTCTCCAGATACTTAATAAATGTTTTTAAAATACATACATGTATATATTATTTTATAATCATTTACATCTAAAAATACATGCACACACACACACATACATATATATATATAGGTCTAGTTGGAACCCTTTATATATATGTTTAAAAGAGATTTTGTGTACATTGAGATTATGAAATGTGAATCGTGTCCTCCATTGCTAACTTTGCTTAATCATACTTTTTGTACTTTTAGCACATGTGCTGGATTCCCTGTTACAGTTACCTTTAAGTGCAGTAGAAGAGGAGGCTCTTGTCCAATTTTTGTACAATAGCAATGATCCAAAGACTAAGGAAATGCTAGTTATGTATTTTTTACAAAGATGTCGTCCCTTACAGGCTGCCCAGTTGAATGAGAAAGTTTATCCTCATTTAATGGTAAGTCTTAAGTTTTGGGAGTTGTATTGTAAAGAATGTAACATGAAAAGTTTTTTTTGTTTTGAATAAATGCTTAGAATATTTGTAAAAATGTGATGTATAACAAATGATAATTAATGCTTGGCTATCATTTTCTAAATGTTACCTGCTCTGTATTTTAATTCCATCCTTGGTGCACAGTGAAGTTACTGTGACTGATGATAAAATAATTTCTTAAATACATATTTCATTCTGTAAGGTAATATCCGAACATTATTACATAAACCAGACAAAGTATATCTGTTCAAGTATCTTTTTTAAATTTGCCTGTCATGTAGAAAATGTGTAACAATGGCTACTAATTAGCAGGAGTCATAGTGAATGACTTATAAAAATCTTTGATTTTTATTGTGATAATCATTTTGAACACGGTAAAGGTTTACTTAATATTCGTAAATTGGTAAAATGTAACTTCCAACATAAGTAGTAGTTGTGATACGCAGTTTAGATGTTTCTTGGAATACGTTCCTAATACACATTCTGAAACATAATGTATATTTGTGTTTGTGTAATATATATCATGCAGTGGATTGAATTATAAAGTTACAGTTTAAATAAAAATATTCCACGAAGAGCATTTTTTTATTAAGATTTCTTAATAATATTTGTGCATTGTCACAGTATATGACATTACGAAATTAATTCTTTTTAAGGAATCTGATTCCTTTAGCCACAAAGAGAAGCCTAAAGCAAGGAATGCCCTGGTTCAAGGGTATCTTTTATCTTTACCAGAAGCTCAAAATCGTTTAGCATCAGAATTCTCTCTTCACCAACACCAAAAGCTGAACAAAAGACAAGAAGGTAACTTTGCTGATTAATGCTGTCTTCCCATACCTTCTAATGATAGTGTTTGTGTGTTTAATCTTGCATCCTGTTAAATATTGTAATAACTTTAGGTTGAGCTATGTAAAATATTTAGCTTTTAATTTGTATCAAAAATAAAATTTCATTGTAATTGACACTAAGATTTATTCTGTGTACCTTTTAGGAATGTAAAAAATATTTTTTTCCTGCAAATGTTTTTTCTGTGTTTTCGTCTGAAATGTTGTTTTAAAAAGAATCTTGAATTTCTGCAGTGTTACGGCCTTTTCCTTTGTCAACTGTTGTCTCCACCAAACTGTTACCAGTGGTTTCTCATTCAACTCTTTTTGAGTCTCTGATGAAGAAAGTCACTGAAGCTGACCTTTGTGGTTTTCAAGAACCAATAACCCCATTCAGGAAAAGGTATTGGTTAAAAGCAGTTACATTTTAATCCTCATGTTACAGATGGGCAATGTTGTCCAAAGTACAAGATTCCCATAGAAAGGGAAATTAAACCTGGTTTTGCAGGTATAAAAAAAAATGAAGAAAAAAAAATTTTTTTATTGAAAGGGATTATAGCAGTATTACAAAAATCAAATTTCATCTTCATTAAATTTGGTATATATAAAAAAGTATATAATGAAAAATGCATTGCAGTAAGCATGGCAAAAACGTAAGCTGGAAATTAAAACTAAACAGAGATTCATGATTAGAGGTGAGTAAACTGTGGCTACCATTGGTTGAGGCTACAGGAAGTCTCTCCTCCAATCAGAAACGTGTTTTAACTAACCAATCATAACACGCTCTCCACAATCCACTAGAACACTATAAAGACAACACAACACACACACTGACCTGAAGACGAAAGGCGGAAGACTTTTGAAACGTCATCCTCTACATTTGTAGGTTTCTACAACAGGCAGTTGCTGTCCATTTGAAACTTAGATTCATTATGAATACTCTGCCTAAACAACTTGTCAAAGATAAAACTTTTCCATTAATCCTTTGGCTATATCCCTTGATAACAGAAGATACAGTTGGTCAATTACACTTACTTTTATTATGCTAAAAAAAGTAAATTCTTAAATTCATTTGTTTTTGAAAGGTTTATGTAGATTGTAGTGTGTTTCTGTTCAGTGTGACTAGTCAGAATATTTTAAGGATTAATGTATTGTGATTTAGGTGAAATACAACAAAAGTTGTAAAGCACTATTAATCTTTTGAAACCCGTGTTTCTTAACTTAATACATAAAGCAACACAGCAGATTGTTGTTGTTGTTTTTTCAAGTGTGTTTAAAAGAAGTTTTATAAATGTGTTGTACAAGAAATTAACTTATAGCTTATTAAAAATGTTGTGGTTGTTAAAGGAAATAAGCATTTTTATTTTCAGAAAAACGTATTGATTTGAAAATATTCAAAGAAATGAACAACTGCTCACACCTTTAAAAACTATTTGCTTGTAAGACATCTCGCAAAGTAACTAAGAAAATTTTAATATTTCTGTCTGTGATTTATGAACAAAGTTTAATATACAGAATTATTTACATTATTCCAGTGTATTTAGTTTTATTGAAATTTTCTTGTAGTTCTCGTGAAAAAACAAACCTTGTAGTTGATGATGTCCCATTTGTTTGCACTCCTTTGACTCCTCGCAAAGCAAGAACAAACAGGTGTGTATAATATCATTAAATTGTTGTTAAAAGTTGTTTTGACCCAAAGAACAGTGATTGGTAGCTGTAATATAAAAGCATTGTTTAAACTGTATGATTTGCTTGCTGTGGGAACTGATGGTTGTTGATTTTAAGAGTGTGTTTCTCTAGTGATTTAAGATTAATGATGTTAATTAATTTGAATGCCATTGTTTGAAGTTTTATTCTCAAGTTTCAGTGCATATTCCTCTACCCCCCCCTTTTTTTTTTACAGATTAAACTGTCATTTTTACTACTAAAAAATATTTAAAACCTTTATTTTATGTAGTACAATAATGAATAGTTAGTAGTCATATTATTGTAAATATTTCTTTCTCATAAGTTTTGACAGACCCTTTGCTTTGATTTAGTTAATGTAACACATGTGGAAGGTAATTCTGTATCTTTTGTCTCAAGTAATATCTTGCAGAGTATCCTGTTCATAATTGGCTTGGTTTTGAAAACCCAAATCAAATATGTGGTGGTGTGTGAAATTTAGTATAGATTATTTCATGTGTAAAAAAACTGTTACGTCTATAGTTCATAGATCATTCATTGATTTCCTCCTCAGTGGTAAGTCTTAGGACTTATAACACTAAATTCAGTTTCAGTACCCGTGGTGGGCACAGTACAGATAGCCCATTGTGTAGCTTTTGCTCAACAATAAACATTGTTTTATAAGTTTTCTACAAAATATTTAAAAGATAATATTCTGTTAACTTTCTGTCCATCTTGATAAGATTAAAGAAAGCATCAGAATAACTAATCAAATCATTGTCCCCAAATTACATTGATAAATGGAAATAAGCCTTATTATAACTGTAAATAAATAAGTAAGTACAGAATTGCATGTTATCCAATAAGATGTGATGAGCAGATAACCAAAAGTCTAGGTTATTTAATTAGAGTATCTAAACTGTTTTAAATATCAATTTTTGTGTCACAGGGTACGTTGCATTCTGGGTTTTGTCAGATTACATCTTATAACAACCACAATACAACATCTATAGTTTCTTATTAATTAGAAACTCAAATTTCCGATATTGGTTTTATTACTTCCACCACTGAAGGTGGACGAAGGTTATGTTTTCATCTGTGTGTGTGTTTGACAGCAAGATTTCTTGAAAGTGACTGAATGGATTTGGACGAAAGTTGGTATACATTTGGACTGTGACTCAACTAAGTGATTAGTTTTTGGAGGGTCAAAGTCATGAAATTCCAAAACACCCCAATCTATTAACATGGGGACAGATTTTACACACTATTTCTGCTCTATAACTCAGTCAAAAATGATCGGATTTTGATGAATCTTGGTGGACATATGTAGAATATTATTCCTCATTGTCCTGCCTAAAATGGTCCATGTCCATTGAAAATGATCAACACTGTGTGGCAGAGGTATGTACTCTACTGAGTGCTCCTTTATTTTATCTAATATGTTACTGTACTGACAGATAGCCCACGTAATGAGTTATGATTTTTTAGGTACCTTTTACAGTTAAA